CTATTGTAACTACCCTCGTCTCCATAAACATTGAAACAAAAGCGGTGTTAACGAGCTAAGACGTCATTAGCATAAAACTAGCGACGGAAAACACGCGATAAATCATGAGACATTGCGAGAGTTGCGTCATTTTTTCCCACAAAGCATTGCAATACGTGGCACTTTACCCTTTCACCGAAGAGCAGACTCAAACACGGAAATAAACATGCTTTGTATATACACGTTTTTCCCCCGAGAAAATCTTGCTGTCTTGTATGGCATTCTGAAATTATTAATAGTTAATAGAATACTTATTATATACATTAGTATATCACCCACAAAATTCCCACACACAAATTAACATCCGGGTATTTTATCCTGTCTCGCCCCTGTCTCGACTGAATCAAAAAGCAGTGCGAAATAAACCGTTCATAAAGTTGTCACAAAGTAAAGTCATAACAAAAAAGTATTCAAACGAAACTAAATATGACTCGTAGCACCGATACAGCTGAACGGGATGTGTATCAGTCGTCAAATAAAGCGAATGGAGGGATATGAAAACACAACAATCAAAAATCTCTTACGTCCGATTACTTCCATTGAAAACCATGCATTAAAGCAACATGGCGACCACCTCCATAGACGATGAAAACATGCAAAATTTCGCCATAAAGTGAATATAAAAACACACAAAAATAGCGAGAATGGACAAAGGAATATTGTAAAGGTTTGCAGATATCAATGTTTTTAGCGATAAAGTTGTTTTTACACTGAGCGAGGGGTTTATTTTACGGACCGAAAGACGTTTAGAGATCGAGAGAAAGAGACTGTCAATAAAACACCGTTTTTCTCGAGTAGAGTAACTGTGTTATAACAGTACATTAAAAGCGTCACAAAAATCGTAAAAACTTGACCAGCAATTAACGTTTAAACCTTGTGACTTATCTGGGACTGTCACATTTGTTTGGACCGGGAGGCTTTTTGTCCAGTGTCGCAGAGGCGACGGCAGGAAATTTTGCATGCGGAGGTGAGATCTGAAATCTACACCCTCTGAAACGCTATTTCCTGCATTTTGAGGGGCAAATTTTGCTAACACAAATGTTTTCAGCTTGATTGCTGCCCCCCCCCCCGGCCGTGCCGCCGCCACTGAGATGTTTTGTCCGGGAGACAAACACCGATTCGTTAACACGGCGATAAACGGTCCATCATTTCACAAACCGGCGGTATATATTTGATAATGTTTGAGCGAAAATAGCGGAAATAAAACACTGTGGAAAATTAATTAACGTTTAGAGTATGCCCTGTATTAATATGTGTACATGTACATATCACGCTGCGTAGTACGAAATATTAGGTTAAATTCCACGTGAGGACAATGACTGCGATACGAGACCACCAATAATCTTAATCGACATGAGTATGAGTAATACCGATCGACAGTTTCTGTCCCGAATATGAAACGTATTACATGGTCAAACCGAAATTTTATAAGTTACATGTATTGTATTGAAGCAGTAGTATTTTAAAATCACAGTGCCAAAGTATATCATATGCATATTCAACTTCCCAACAGCATTGTTCCCCTGACACATTTAATGTGTGTGTTTTTGTTTGTTTGACAAAACGTCTCCCGGACCACAGTTCTTCTATCCATGATAGAAAGACAGTGCCCGGACAAATCGTTTCCCGAGTTTTAATTCATGCGTCGAGTGTTTTTAATTTGTGCACCGGTGACGATGACAGTCAAACCTATTACATATTGTTTTAATTCAAACGTCGCATTTCTACGAAATACCTTCTTTATTCTACAAATTGTCTAAGATCAATTATTGGAAATACGTTACTATTTCTCCTTACCGAATTTCGAAACAACAACAACGAAAGAATTGTGTACAATTAGTGTGTTCACACTCGGATTTACCGCGGCCAAAGTATTCACCACCGAAACGTCGGCCCTAGAAAAACATTCGAATATACTTCAAACGTATTGCTTGTTTAAACAAGATTTAATATGTGAAAGATATCTTTCTGCTATTTCGTTGGCTACTCCTGTCTATTCATGTGCTATAACTAGACTTAGAATTTCCTGTCATCCCCTAGAAATTGAAAATGGTAGAACATTGAGTATTCCACGTGACCAAAGGTTATGTCCATTTGGTTGCAGGGTCACAGAGGACGAATACCATTTCACTATGATTTGTCCAAAATATGAAGCAATTAGACAAAAATTCTTACCAAAATAGTATTGTTCGGCACTAACCAAGATGAAATTCATTGCATTACTACAGAGTACTAACTCGTATATTTTATTAAGTTTGGGTAAATATTTGTTTAAGAGTTTTCATTAACAGAGAAACTGAAATGGAAGTATGATTTGAAGTATATGTATCTTGTAATTTTAAAGCGACCGTGTGTAATTTAAGTTTTGAAATGTAACAGTACTTTAGGCCGGTGGCCATATAGTGCGGAATAAAGAAATAATAATAATACAGCATTGGTTGACTAATAACGGGCTTACATTGGATAAAAACAAGACTAAGTGCATGTTTTGGGAAACTTTTGGAAATTTATTGTACATAAACATAGCAAATTCAATGATTACTAAGTATATGTCCAGAAACTTACATAACTTGGCGTATGGTTTGGGACAATTGAGAAAACAAAATGAGTAACAAAATTTCTGGAATGTTAATATTGAGCAGACGTCGGCGGTTTATCCTAAAATATATTGCAAACCTGCTCTTCAATTCAAAGGTGTCACCTGTGTTTGAGCTCAGACTAAATTTTACTAGCCTGAGGTTTGAGTATGCAGACTGTGTACGTCATAACTGTACACGAGGTAAAACAAAAGCGAGGTCTATTCGAAAGTGTAAGACAGAATGATTGTTATGTAAATTAGGTTGGTTGTCATGTGAACAATACATGTACATGTCTGAGCACAAGTACATGTACTTAGTACTCGCTCTCATTTTTAGCACCCCCTTCGTTACCTTAACGATCCAGTCTTGTTTCATCTTCGCAAAACTACATTACTAGGCAAGCTAATCGCAGTGGATTGCATGTGCATTCCTACATCAAAAACGTAAATAAATAAAAGGGGAAATAATTGTCAAAGTGCTAAAACGTGGACTCGTAATAATTGAGAGACTCCTAACATTTTTAAATCCAATTTTATAAAAGTTATATTTGTTGTAATTCTAAGCTATATTTAGTCTTCCTTATTTCATTTTGTATACTATTTTGCAACACTTTAAATGTGCGTAAATATATATATGTTATAGGTCCTCAACAGAAAACATTTATATAATGATATTAGGTAAATAAATAGATAAACAGAAATTTAAAAAAGGGAATGGAGAGACAGAGGTAATATAATCGCCTTTATTTGGACCATGAAATTAAAAGCAAGCCTGCAACGTATGTTTGAATAATGTAGAAATCATTAACTTGGAATGTTTTGTGGTTAATATCAATGCCTATAACCCTTCAAATACTGATTTCCAGTTTGCGGAAGTTAATCAAGCATGTACGCATGTAGGCGGGAACTCAGGGCGGGAACTAAAGGGTGTTAGGCTGGAAATGGGAGGGGTCGTACTTTCATTTGTTAGCTACATAGGAAGTAACAGCTTCTAATTGGTATTTGGACATTAATTGGCCTTCATCAAGACATGATTGTTTTACGAGATTACATGGGATTAACATGTGCTGATTAATTTTGGATGTCAGGCAGGATTAAGATCTGTCAGCGGGATCAATCTCTGTGAACAGAGAAGAGTGACGTGATCAACTTCATTTTTCTGAATAAAAAAAAAACTCTGTTGACTTATCGAAATAATTAAATGTTTTGCATTTTCGCGCTCACTCCAGACTTTTGTTAGCTCTGCCATTCGGAGTATTTTTAAACTTGAAACATAAAAACTTAAAACGGCTAATGTATGAATCTACTAGTACATTTGTACATGGTCGTGTTAGTACGTTCATGATTTATGTGTGACCACATATATCCGCGAAATCTGAATACACGTAGAATGTTGTGAATAAATAGTAACAATGGTCTTTGGACGAAAACGTCGTGCACTGGAAAATGGTCCGTTTTGATGGTAGTATGATAATGAAATTTGTTCCGAATGTAGGAACTTAGGACAACGACATTTTCGGTCTGCATTTCAAACCCAAACTATTTTGACCAGGCTTTGTGCAGAAGGCGGATTTCGTATGTTTCTAAGTAATTCGTATGTTCTCAGACAACTAATAATTCGTTTCCTAGGGAATGTTTTATTAACATGGTGGCCGAAACTTCCGTGAGCGAAAGCGAAACTTCCCCGTGCATTCCGTTGTTGTAGAAATTCGACGATGATTGTGTGTATCACGTTTAATGATGCTCTGTCGGGGTATCTAGAAGCGATGGTGCGTTTTGCGACGTGCCGGGGTTACACGGCAAAAAAAAAACTTCCCTGATACATTCGTGGCATTTGCGCCTGCATCAGATAAACGTGTAGGCACGTTCATGATTGACAAGAATCTCAATGGGATAATCTCTATTTTGAAGTGTGTGCACAAATTTACCAAACCAGCTGCCCCGCCTCTGTTATTTTAGCGTCAAATGTGAAAATCCGTTCGCTTGGTTGACATTTGAGTGACATGGCACCTTCTCGGTGAAGAATCAATTTCGGAGAAGTTTAGACATTTAAAAAAAATGTCTGTTATAATGATACTAATACGAATCTGACTTGTATCGTTCTAGTGTTTTGTCTTTTCACTGTCGGGGACGGTGGTCTATAGTCTAGCACCACTGAAAAAAAAAGTCTAGCACAGTCGACTGTCTAACCATATTGTTTATTTTCCGATTTAAGATATGACCACGAGGGCGTCCCCACACCTACTTTCTCTTTGTTTGGAGGTGTGAATTGGCGTCTTAGGATGTCTCAGGAACACGTAAAAGAGAGAGTGAAACCTCACAACCGCATTCGTCCGGTCCGCTCCGCGCTCTCTCTCTCGAACGGTACGCTTATATCTCCACCATGAAAGACCAAGACATCGGCGAAACTTCGCAAGGCTCGGCTTCATCGACAACGAGTGGGTTTACTCGTCCTCACTACCGTCGCAGAAACAAACCACCCTTCTCATACGCAGAACTCATCAGCTTGGCAATTTTGTCTTCTGATTTCAAGAAACGGACTCTCCGTGAAATTTGTGAGTATCTCGAGTGCACGTTTCCCGTCTTCCAAGGGGAGTACACGGGATGGAGAAACAGTGTCCGACACAACCTCTCTGCCAGCGGCCGTTTCGTTAAAGTTCTTCGCGATCGCAAACGTCCATTTGGGAAAGACAACTACTGGGCCATAAAGCCCAATACTAAGCACGATATACAAAAAATGCAAGAGAGGCTTGATGAATATCTCTCATCGAGCAAGGGTAAAAACACTGCGAATGAGCGAAAAGAAAGACGACCGAACACGTCGCCTGCATCGGGCACTGTTAGGAACAAACAACTCCCGGTCGCGCCACGCCAGAAAGCTCCACACTCCGGTGTCTCTGTGTATGATAAGACACCACGAACCGAAGCATCAATGGACACGTACCGAAATCATTCTTTCACAAACTTCCAACAGCCACGTACGGTGACACTGCAACACGACCAGTATTACTACGACTACACAGCATATCAGCAGTATTGCGCATATCAGGCTGCCAGCATGTACCGGTACAAGCCAAGTGACTCCAAAGTGCCGGACCAGAACTCAGTAACCACTGCTCAAGTCAACGGTTCACCCTGCCAATCGCCATACCAGTTCGGCCGAATATACCAGTACAACCGAGACCAAATGACTCCTTTATCGGAAACTGCTTATCTAACTGACGACGATGAGTCTATGTACACCAGTGGTGCAAGTAAACTACAAGACCCGACCCAAATGCAGTCTGACTTCGAATGCAAAACTTTCCAGGTGAGTTATACATTGAAATATATTGTAGTTGCACACATTCTTTTTAACTTCAGGTTCTATATACTGTTCATTCCAAACTAAACATGTGACATATGATGAAACATACGACAATTATTGCCATTTGCTTTATCTGAGAAATAGTGGACAGCACGAATTTGTACGTAATTGTTTGGAATTACATTTTTGCGAGTACGGCATATATATATATATATTGTAATGTAATTTTGTATTCTTTTTTTCATTTCCAGACTCTCATCGACACCGACACGAACACGATATCCACTGGTGCGCATGTTGTTTGCAAGACTGAAGATTGCGGCAACGGCGAATCAACTTACGATAGCGGCAGTTCCGACGAACAACGAGGAGAAAGCTGCATGTATGACACGGTCTCCATGTTCGAATACGAAAAGGGAACCTTCCAAACCGTGAGCGATATACTAAACGGAGTGACCGAACTCATTGATGACACCAGTCTGGCTTCGCTCACTGAGATGACAGATGGACCCTAAATCCGAATATAATCAGAGCATTTGTTCTCTCAAATTATGTACGATAACGACGTTTTAGTATTGAAGATGTGCATACTATTTTTAATCTTATAGTGTGCCATGCTTCGTTTTCCCAGATCATAGTCGGGACCACAGTCAGCTGGCGCACACGTGATAATAAAATAAATTTGATATTTACTATATGGGGGCCGCCATCTTGAATGACGCATAAAACTAAATAAGACACAAGTTGTGAAACGAGTTTTTCAGATTCCTACAAATCAGGACAAAAATACCAATCTTTCACAAAAATACGGTCCGTTGGGGTTATATTAAGCCAACCGATAACAAAATTCGGCCGAATTCGTCGTTTTTGTGTGGAAAAATCCCTTGCATACGAACACCTAATTACGCGAAGAACCTAGAACACTAAGCCGGGGTATTTGAAACCGAAA